AAAAAAAAAAAAAAAAAAAAAAGGTTCCGTACATGAATGTATATTGTGTGGATAGCCTAGATCACTAAGATGAAGATTAGGTGAAAATCTTGAGTTGAGGGCCAGTTTTAGAAGATGAATGTCTAGAAAAACCAAAGGGGGGCATACAAATTGATTTGAGTATAGATAATAATTCTCTCAAATCCTTTATGACTCAAGCAAATAAGCTTGTAAGAATATTTTGAAATCTGGTGCCCTAAAGCCAACTGGTTTAGGAGTCACCGACCTAAAGCTGGCTACCGGGGTCATATTGAAAGCAAAAAGGGGAGGAATAAGTTAAAAGTCATCTGATTGAGCCTTTATAACCCGAGTGAATAAGCCTGCAAGTGTTTAAAACCTGATTTCCTAAGGCCAATTGGTTTGGGAGTCACCGACCTAAAGCTCGTTACAAGGGTTATATAGAAAGCAAATGAGAAGATGACAAAAAAAAAATCATCAAAGAATAAGAGAGCAAAAACACAACATAACACGAAGAAAGCCCTTGGACATTTGGTTTATAAAACTACACTTTTGATGCAAGGCAAGTAACTTAATTTAGTCTTAGGGGTTGAAGCAATCAAAATGGAGAACTTCTACTTGTTGACATGTGACTTTGTAATAGTGAAATCTTTCCAAGCTAAAAAGGGCAAGGAAACTCTTAACTTTAGAACACACTTCAGGATAATTAAGTGAAAAGACTAAGTTTGGGGGGTGTGTATCTCTCGAGCGAAGAAAGGATATATTTGATCACTACGGGTTGGGATTCGCCCAATCATGAGCCTGATATGCTGGCATGAGTTCACACACACACGTTGAGTTTTGCATCTAACAGGTAATGGTTGATTTTATTCCTGTGTTAATTACTGAATTCCAATCCTGAAACACGGCATATTGTCAAGCCATATTTTGTTTAGAGTTAAGTCACTATCATGTTTGAGGACAAACGAGAGTTCAAGTTTGGAGTGTTTGATAAGTGCATTTTTACACTCTTATTTGACCACAAAACATGATTAATTGTTAATAAATGTGTGTGAATATGACTTAGTTTTATAAAATTTTGTTTTGTAGGATTTCATTGATGAATATGACATAACTTAAGAGAAAAGACACAAAAAAGGGGCCAAAATGGAAGAAAACAAAAGTTTAGGGATCAAGTTGCACAAACCCAAAAGATGACCGAAAGGAGAATCGAGAAATTGAACGAGCCAAGTACCAATTGGGAGCAATAATGGAGTGATGGAGCAAGAAGAATGAAGAAAAGAGGGCAAAATGGAAGAAGAACGAGATTGAGGACCAAAACACATCAATTGAAAGGTTGGCTCTACCATGGGGTCGCATGGTAGAAAAGGGCTTGCGGTCGCACAAGAGCACACAGGAAATTTAAAAGCCAAAACTTGGTAAACCATGCAGTTGCATGGTTATGACTGAAGCGCGATTTTTCGAGTTTACTTATACGAACAAAACTCTTATGGAAACCTAATTGTGACACGATATAAAAACCCAAAACCATCCATAACAAAGGGGGAGCCACATTATACACTATTTTTGAGGATTTGAAGAGCAAGAACACGGCAGAAACGAAGGGATTCATTCCAAGATTCAAGATTTCAACTCAAGAATTAATTGGGTGATGTTCTTCTGTGATTTTAATTGTTGTTCTTTTCTTCCATTCATGTGTAGTTAAATTTTCATGTGTTAGGAGATCGATTAACCATGTAATGTAATCTTTGGATTTCTAGCTTTACATAATTGACATTTGAACACATTATTGAATTTGTTGAATGGTTTATATGCAATAATTTCTTCCATAATTATGTGATGTTTGGTGATTTATTTCATGCATTTGAAAGAAGGGAAATAAATTTGATAATGTATAAATCATCGTAGGGTCCGATAGGGAATAGAGATATAACCATGCTTTGCGTGAATCTTTAAGTGCTCATAGAACCACATGCATTCTTGTATATTTGCATCCGTCTTAGAGATATAGTCGGGTGGTATATGAGTCAATTTTACTCGAGAGGGACTATTGGATAGAATTAGGAGCATTGATTCTTCAATAATTCAATCGTGTTGTCAATTTGTGAAACTAGAGTTTAAAGTGAATATCGCATGGGGATTTGTGATCCTAGTGTGTTTCCCATTCATTAATTTAATCAAAATTGCATTCAATTTTGTTTTAGCATTCTAGATCATTTAATTCATACATAATTGCATCCATAGATTAGGGTAGGACAGATTCACGTTAAAATCACATTGTTGGATAATTTAGTTTCGGTTAAGGCTGGAATAATTAAAAGTAAACTACTCAATCTCTGTGGGACGATATTCAGACTCAATTGCTTACTTTATTACTTGTTGCGAACCGTACACTTGTGGGGTTGTAATCGAATACATTCTCGATATCACAACAATTGCTTTCAATCTAGTTCCGCATCATGGGTCATGAGTCGTGGGCTGTTTGCTTGGGCCAAATCGGCAATGTCTTTTCAGAGAATAAAATAAAAGTTTTATTTATATATTTATTGTACTTTATACTTTTATTACTTCCATGTTTGGATTAATCGAAATGCATCATGTGTCGGTATCTTTCTAGAACATTTTTGTTCGCACACTCATCCTTTTCAGCAATTTTCTCTTTTCACACACAAATTTTCAACAATTATAAATAAGCCCTTTGTCTTTGCATAATGTCATTCAATTCTCGTCCTCTTTCATATTGCACCCTACAGTGTTTCCAACAGCATATTAGTCCAGGTCAATTTTGCTCACATTTGTAGTCCTTATAGAGAGTTAAAAATGGTGTGTTACTATTATGACAATTGGTCGTTATATCTTGGAAGAAGTGTACGAAAAATTCCTAAGAACTACCACAGTAAGTGTCATCTTATGAAAAATGAATCAAACTCTTTACCCCGATCAAAATTCACTTTTGTAGTTTCTAACATATGTAAGTTGGTAATTTGTCTCGTTAAGCTATTGGTACATGATTAGTTTAGTTTGGTCCTCATTATTTTTGAAATACATTTTTCTCTCTTATTTTTAACAACACATTTTTCAATAAATAGTATTACACGCAAATACAAAATTTTTCCTTATTTTTAACCATACATTATTCATCAAAATACTATTTCAAGATGCATTTTGGATGGGGGGGGGCTTGAAGTATTAGTTACATAATGAATTCACGGTTTATGGAATGTGAAGTCATTGACAACTCTTGAAGCCAATTTCTATTATTTAATTATGAAATCAGTAATATTTTTCAACAATCTGTAATAAAGAAAGTGAGGCAGGCTGAGATTGGATTTAAAGTTTGATGTTGCGCCATTTTCAGCCATTTTCACTCTGTCGAAACCCAATGACTAAGAAAATAAAACATTTTCACTAAAGGGTCAAGCCGTGATATTTACGGAAAGAAAAATGGAAAATGCTATTTGTATCCGAGCGTGTAAATGCCCGGTTACACGCCTCTCATATGGGAGGCAGGGCCCGCACACAATAAATGCTTGGGACCCGCCCCCATGTGAGGGGCGTGTAAACACCCAGGTATATGTAGCAAAACCCAAGAAAAATTAGTCATATTACATACTTTTCTGCATCGACAAATCAAATGAGGCAGCTGGCCTGACTCTTGCCTGGCAATGACTTTGAAGTGCAGGACACGAGTAGGCCCAAGACTGGCTTGGAGTCGATTGGTGAATAGGTTGTGCATGACTTGACTATTTAAGTCAAGTTGTGAATTATGTCAAGGATAAAGATGGAAAATATAGATCAATTTATAAAAATTTGGACTATTCATCTCATTAAGATTGATATTTTAAAATGAAACCCCAAGTTTTGATATCGTATTAGAGTTCATTAAACTTAAATGAGTAATTTGATCCGATTAGAACTCAAAAAATGGGTCTGTGAATTTCAAGATTGGTCTGCTCAAACGAAACACCGCTTTACGGGGCATATTATGAAATAAAATCTCATATCAAATAACGATAGAAACCTAAACTAACTAAAAATTTTTAAGATAAAATCTCAAGTCTTAATAAATTGATCAATGCACAAGTGAAAAAAATAAGGCCAATCTGCATGGTTCATTTTTATGCTCGTCGTGCTTTTCATTGGACCTTTGGGGGTAGGGCTGTAAGCAAAAATCGTAAAATTGGAAAATCGAACCAAAATCGCATTTTAGAAATCGTTGATTTGATGCCACGTAAACCCGGTCAAAAAAATTGTTTTGAACCAAACCAAACCGGTCAAAAATGGTTTGGTTTGAGAATTTAATTACGGTTTAAAACCAAATTCAGACCGGCAAAAAATATATAAAAATAAAAAATAATAAAAAAATAATTTTTTTGAAAATTCATCCAAATATGTAAAATTCAATAGTTTTGTCATTTGTGGATATTTTTGTCGATTTCTATATATATATATATGTTGTTGTTGTTGTTGTTATTATTATTATTATTACCTAATAATCCTAATTTATATCTAATAATCTCAAAACTAACATAATCTATCAAAAGCATTTTTCCTCTTCGGAATTCGGATAAACTTCGGCCGACACCTGACACAGTCTTGAGCTACGGGCACCACACACACTTCTTCTTCAGATTTTTTATGCCTCTTCAAAGTTGAATTATAGTCCATTACACTAAATCGGAGACAAATAGATCATAGGCCTTTGGTGATAATATTTGCTACGAATAAAGTTTCAAATCAATAATTTTTTTGAGCAAATTGAGGTAAGAATTTGAAATTAAATACATTTCGTAACAACATAAAAACTTAAGTTTGTATAATTGTTATGTTTAGATATTATAAACAACTGCTTTATTATTGTGGTTGGTTATTCTCTTTGTCTAATCAATGACCTTTTTTCAGATATGATGATCACGAAGTTTTGTTGGATATCTTTATATGTTTTTGCCCTTATATCTCGTTTAGTAGACTTATATTGTAATGTTATCATAACGTCATTACATAAAAAAAGGTGAACAAAAACATATTTCACTTTGATTTAGTAGATATTTAAATTTATCGTAGATATATTTAGCCCCTATTCGAGCCATATTTTTCATGTTATCATAATGAGAAAATTGACCGATAGAGAGGAGGTTGAGTCCCACGCATGAAACAATAGGTCAACAAATGCGGTTGAACTTGTGGGATAATTGTCCAAATTTTCATTTTTTTATGCCAAAAATTTGGTTCAAACAAGGGTTTAGATTGTTTTAGATTTATTGCAAGTGAGATATAAATATATATTGAATTCAATCAATTAATGTCATAAAAGTAGACAGAAAAAAAAATATATAACGAAATCGACGATTTAAAATCGAACCAAACCGTTAGGTTTAGGTTTGAGTTTTTTTCAAACCATTCAAAATGATTTGGTTTAGGTTTAGCTTTTTCTCAAACCGATTTAACGATATGGTTTGAAAATTTGTCAAAAATCGATAAAATCGAACCGCTTACACCCCTACTTTGGGGGATTCAATGAACGCCACTTATCATTGTGCAAAGGGACGGGCAGGTATCATTTTTCAAATAAATTTTTTGACGTATACTAGCATACTTTGAAAAGGACAAGAAATATTGTGATGAAGAGCTTCGGCAGTTTATGATGAGGCATATTGTTACACGAAGCATAAGAGATGCTCATAAGATATAAAGTTGATCATTTTGAACTCCTTTAAGACCTTAACTCCTAAACTTTGTCGAAACTTAACGAGTGTTCTCAACTTGGATTTTGATGAATTTTAAAAAATTATAAATTTTAATAAATTTTGTGAATTGAAATAAATTTGAGAGATTAAATTTCAAAAGAATTTGTTATATGTATTTTTAAGCATGAAATACATCCAAATCTTCTAAAATTTCTCTATTATTGAAATCCTTTTAAAAATATGTGAGTTATTAGGAATACTTCAATTTTAAAGAATTTCATTGAAATTCATTAAAATCATAGTTTGAAACACCTAAATTTTAATTGATTTTATTAAAATCAATTAAAATATGAAGTGGGGACACTTGAATTTAGAGCAATTATAAAAATTCATCAAATTCTCAATTGAGGACACTTAGCCCCTATTTGATTCCTATTATTTTAAAATTCATTTCTTCTTAAATTTATTTTCAACCACACATTCTCATAATAAAATATTGTGCACGTAATTCAAGATTTTTTATACCTTTTAATCATATATTCTTAAAAAATTACTATTATAAAATTCATTTTGATGAAATAATACCCCATTTGATATATATTAAAGTAAAAATGAAAATGAAAAAATAGCCATTACGGGTCCTACATAAGAAATAGAATGTCAAATATGATAGCTTGATGTGATGAAAAACAGCTCTAATTTTCATTTTAATGAGCAAATAATGAGAAATAAACGGGGGTTTAGTAAGAAAATAAAACTTCTTCACTAAGCTTTAATTTGGCCCACGTGATATTTACGGGAAGAAAGGTTCACATGACTTGGAGGTCCAGGGTAGTGGTAGGCCCAAGACTGGCTTAAAGTAATGTTGTGAATTTGAATTTATTGGTGAACAGGTTGGGCAGGACTTGACTCTCCAAGTCAAGTTGTGAATTGATCATTACAGAAAGTGGAAAAAATGAGGCCAAACTGCATGGGTCAAATTTCGTGCTTTGCATGGGGTCTTTGGCGGGATCCAATGCATGCCACTTATCGGTCTGCATTAGGACGGGTGTGTGCCACATTTCGAATTGAAGTTTTTGAAAAGGCCAACAAAGATAGTAATTGAGGAGCCTCTAAAGTTAACGATTAGTATAAAAAAAATGCCCATAAGATATAAAGTTGATCATTTTGAACTCCTTTAAGACCTTAACTCCTAGTCTTCTCGTTTGTTAGGTCCCTGAGCTATATTTTATTGGTTGGAGGTCAAGTTGTACGACCCATCTAAAGTTCGTAAAGTTTAATTAATATTTTTGTATTAATAAATATTCTACCAGAATGGTAGTTTGATTTTTTATTTTTATTTTTAAAAAAAGGATTGACAGTTCCATTTCATAGATAGAAGGCAAATAGTTTTTTAATTTTCTAAAAGAGCAACATAAACGAAAAAAAGTCTTGCGAGTAGTGAAATAGAAAAATATAGAATTATAGTCAAGAACACTGCTTTTTAACAATGCTTTCTTGTTGTTTGTTAGGTGGAATGACATTTTAATATCTAATTGCACTAAAGAAACTTGAGGCACACAAAAATTTCATTTATGCTGATCGACGAAATTTCGTAAGTATACGGTATCGTAATCAAGTAATAGGGTGGCAATTGAGCTAAATGACTCGTCCACTCCCCTCCTTGAAGCTTGATTCATGGATTACTTAGGCTCGTCCGTGGACAAGCATGGATTTGAGCCGAATGAATAATAAGTATAGTGACCAAACGGCTACATTTTTTTGATTTTTGATCGTCGTTGATTATCACAAATCTTTTAAATGTGACCGTTGGATAATGTTAGAAAAAAAAAATTAAAAAATTTTGGAATCATGATTGCAATTCTCCCTATTATTGGTAAAATCGTAACTTTATAAAACAATTAAAATGAAATAATTAAATAAGGGTAAACGGGTCATCATGTTATATCCTGCTTTTGTTAAGCTGAAGTTCAATTTTGCTTTCTGGATGGTGGTTTTATTTGATTTGTGAGCAGAATTTTTTTACGGGTTGTGTGATTTTGCTTTAAATTTTAAGTGGTTTCGGTTCATTAACTTACAGATGATTTATGACGAATTACAGATGTTGCTCTCTATTTGTTCATGGTTGCATTCTTGGAGTTGAATATTTTCCATTTTTCTTCTTTTAGATTTAATTTCTGGATCTCCCTGGAAAATTTCCTGACCCTCTACTGCTCCTTCGAAATTGGACAATAGTGGGATGGGTGAGTTATGGAGACGGTGGGAATACCGGTTGTCGGGGCTTTCCATGATTAATTTGGCTGCGGTGGTGGAGGAATCTGGCTGTTTAATGTGTAGATAAGGGAGTAAATAGTAGATGGATGATTGGGGATATTTGGCTGATATTTCTTGGCAGAAGAACAGATCAAGTGATGATTTTGAGGTGGTGGTTGTGATTCCGGTATGGTGTGTGGGTGGCCCGGTTGTGGGTGGATTTTCCGGTTTCTTTTTGGGTGGAGTTGGAGTCGGGTGTTAGAGGGAAGAAAGCTTTCAGTTTTATTAATTTTATTTTAATTGTTTTATAAAGTTACCATCTTATCCTTACTAAAATTGTTAATAATATGGTCAAAATTATTTTTATGGGTGAATTGAGACTGACTTATGGACGAAACTGTCCATTCGTCCTTCAGTCGTTTGTACTTGAAAGGTTTTGGATCATGAATACAACAAATGAAAAGTTAGGGTAAAATCTACAAAAATTTAAAAGGTTTGGGACCATTGCTGCAATTATCCCTTGTATTATGCTATTTGTACAAAAGTGGTTAACAAAATTGGTTGACAAAAGTGTGTTGACAAAATTCAAGTCATTGATTTTCAATTATTAAAAATCTTTTTTTTTTTAATAATTGGTGTAGATATTAATGTGTAAACCAATTTTATACATGTAGCATAACTCATTATACCTTATTTTATCGAGAGATTGTGTGGTTCAAAATAAATTTTAAAAAAAAAAGAGTTTCTTAGAGACATGAACCTAATTATTGGGGACGCACTAGGCAAAGAAAGTCTTAACTACTTATCCCTTTACCTTAAAAGACTCTTGCCTAAAAATACTATTCATTCTTGAGTACCTTGTTTTCACACCACTGTTCGTTATCTTGTTCTTCAATAGAAGTAGATACTTTTTTAGTCAAAACGACGTCGTATCCTTCTTTGAAGAACAAAATTCTTGAACCAAGCATGTGGGACCCATTGTGAGATAGGAAAGTCAAAAATTTCGATTGACACATCTGTTATATACCTTTTATTTTTCAAAGCAAGAATGACTGAATCACCAACCAAATTAGAATGTGTATTCCATGCAAGAATATCGAGACAAATTGCATTTTCACTGTCACTTAAATCTTGACGGAATCACTTTTTTGGGAAATTTCTTATTAATTTTTTTTTTCATTGGGTGATTGATATTTTTTTTGTGTCAATATTTTTTTACTGGATGATTTATTTAGTTTTTTTTGTAAAAATCTACCATAAATTTTCTATATTCTCTTGAAACTCATTTCGAGAACTATATTATAGACACGTCGAATGATCTAAATGAATATCGAAAATAGTTAAACGTATATCAAACGTGTGTGTTAAAAATGCGTATAACTCGTCTTTTTTCTTAAAAAAAAAATTAATTATTTTATTAATTATTATTATTTTGTCACGATAATTTTCTCAATATAATTTACATCATTTTTTATGTACATGACGTCAATTATTTTTCATTTTAGACGTAAAAATTCCTAATAAAATTATTATCACTTTATAATTTATATGGGTTATAAATTTTTATACTATTTTCCTACTTTTCTCCATTTCTTTACGCAACATCTATAAAAAAAAATATGTACTTCTTTTCTTTATTCCTTTATGCAACAATTAATCAAAATTGTAGATTTTTTGAGAGAAATAAATAGATATTTTGACACGATAATATTACGTAAAAAATGACATAGCCCGTGCATTGCACGGGTGGAAAACTAGTAAAATAAAAATTCTGTACATTTTCTAGTATTTATACCTCCAATCCAGCATTGTTAGCAGCAGCAAGAAAAAGTGTCATGCAGAAGGCTAAATACTTTCTCCGTGCAATTTTGTTGGTACAGTGTCTAATGGCTTGCAAAGCCATGGCAGCAACAAATATTACTACTGATCAATCTTCTCTTCTTACCTTCAAAGCCCATATAAATTTAGATCCTTCACACATTTTATCCAAAAATTGGTCGGTTTCTACTTCTGTTTGTGTCTGGATTGGAGTTACTTGTGGTCTTCGCCACCAGAGAGTGACTGCCTTGGATATTTCTAATATGAATCTTATTAGAAAGATACCTTCCCAATTGGGAAATTCTATCCTTCCTTGTTTCTATCAACTTGACTGGAAACTATTTTCATGGTAGTCTTCCTCAAGAGTTGATTCAACTCCGACGGTTAAAAATCATGCTCTTCCGTTCCAACAAATTCAGTGGCGAAATTCCTTCATGGCTTCATTTCTTACCTAAGTAACAAGTTTTGAGTCTTAGAAATAACAGATTTACATGTTTCATTCCACCTTCTCTCTCCAACATATCTACTCTCGACACTCTGGATCTCTCTTTCAATCCTCTGCAAGGGAAAATCCCGGAAGACATTGGAAATCTTCATAACTTGAAAAAGCTTCTATTACAAGATAACAGACTCATTGGTGTAATACCATTGCAGATTTTCAACATATCGACAATGGAATTTCTTTCTTTTACAAGGAATAACTTAATTGGCAATCTCCCTATTCAAATATGCCATGGCTTCCCAAGACTCCAAACGTTTTTTCTATCTGAAAATGAATTGGGTGGTAAAATTCCTTCCAATCTATCAGAATGTTTACACCTTCAGAGTCTTGATTTGTCTAACAACAAATTTAGTGGATCCATTCCGGGAGAAATTGGGAGAATAAGGACGCTTCAGATTTTATCTCTTTTTTCAAATGATTTGTCCGGTAAATGAATCATGATTGATGTTGCACTAGTACTATAATTTTTTTGTTTGAAGAGATCTTCATTCATAGAATTATTGATTTTATCCAGATCAACATTTCGGTAATTTTAGTCTCTCGTTCTGATTTCACAATTGACAGGTGCAATTCCACGTGAGTTGGGTAATCTGGATAACCTGAGGATGTTGAGCTTGGGATTTAATTTTCTTAGTGGCTCTATACCAGCCAGTATCTTTAACATTTCATCATTGCAAGTGATTGAGATTCAAGAGTGCAACCTATCCGGTAACTTTTAGCCCCTGTTTGATGTTTGATAGCTACTATTTGAAAACTGTTTTTTTTTTTTTTTACTTACTCATTTTCAACCATACATTCACACAATAAATATTCTGCACTTAAATCCAAAATTTTTCCCTTTTGTTAACCATACATTCTTCTATAAATTATTATTCAGGTGCGAAATGAGGCTAAGATGCCAATGCACGCATTATTAGGTTTTTTTCCTTTTTCTTTTTTTTTTTTACAATTCTTTTAAGTTAAAACTTATAATTATTAAATAATTTTTTATTGATTAAAAATTTAAAATAATATTAAAATAAGAAAATGCTTTTTAACGCTTTTTTAGGCATTTGCCTCGCCTAATCCCACATTGCCCTTAGTTTAGCATCAACGCAATGCCACGAATTACGCTATTTAGAACACTGATTTTTATACAGAAATTTAAAGAATACTATTTCTTTTAAAGTTTGAGCGCTACATAATTTTTAGATGTAATCCCACAAGAGATAGGCAATCACCACCACTTGGAGCATCTTCATTTGGACAGTAATAACTTAAATGGTTTCATGCCCCCCTAAGAATCTTCAACGTCTCAAAATTATTATTGATATCGGTTCCAATTAATCAACTTTCAGGAATCCCAAAAGATTGGCAATGAAAAATCTTCCGAACTGAAGGCGATATCCCTGCGTTACAACAATTTTACTGGACCAATTCCAAACTTCCTTGGGAATTTGAGCTTCATTAAAATTGTCGACTTGACTGGGAACAATTTCATTAGTGAATCTCCAGAATTGAGCTTCATCACTTCATTGACAAGCTGTAGGTATTTAACAAATTTGGCTTTTGACAGCAATCCTTTGAATGGCATTCTTCCATTTTCAATTGGGAATTTGTCCCGTTCTCTTCAATATTTTTATGGTTATAATTGTGGTCTCAGAGGTAGCATTCCAAATGAAATAGGCAATCTCACCAATTTGATAGCGTTAAGTCTGTTTGGCAATGAGTTGACAGGATCAATTCCAGCAAGCTTGGTGAATTTACAAAAGCTTCAAGGATTAGATCTTCAAATCAATAACATAAGTGGATCTATCCCGAACTCTCTCTGTGAACTTCACAATTTATATGAATTGGGATTGTCACAAAATCAAATATCAGGTGCTATGCCATGTTGCATAGGGAATATTACTACACTAAGGCATCTATATATCGATACCAACAGATTGACTTCCAGCATACTTGCAAGTCTGTGGCTCTTGAAAGATCTTCTAGTGTTGAATCTATCTACAAATACTTTGAGTGGCTCTTTACCTCAAGAAATTGGGAACCTGAGGGCTGCAACTCTTATTGATCTATCAGCCAATCAATTCTCAGGTAGGATTCCAAGCACAATTGGAGATATACAGACCTTGAGTAATCTTTCCTTAGCACATAACGCACTGCAAGGATCTATTCCAGAGTCCATGGGTAAGATTATAAGCTTGGTGCACCTCGATCTATCTCACAACAATCTTTCTGGTAATATCCCCAAATCCTTTGAGGCACTTAAGTATCTCACGTACTTGAACGTTTCTTTCAATGATTTAAGTGGTGAAGTTCCTTCTGGTGGTGCTTTCAAAAACTTTTCAAGTCAATCCTTCATGTCTAATGAAAGATTATGTGGAGATCTTATATTTAGTCTCCCATCATGTCCTACTGGTAGACAAAAGAGAAGAAAAACGAGGCTTGCAGTTGTATTTTCTTTGTTGGGGATTACATTACTCATTTTAATTGTCACAGCCTTGGCGATGTATGCAATTGGAAGATACCGAAGGAAAATTTTGGTGGAAAATGGAGTAGACTTTGCACCTGGCACAACTCTAAGGGTCTCATGTTATGAACTTTTGCAAGCAACTGAAGGGTATAGTGAGAGCCATTTGCTTGGGACTGGGAGTTCGGGCTCTGTCTATAGAGGGACTCTCAATACTGGAAGGAATGTGGCAGTGAAGGTTTTCAACTTGCAAGAACAAAATGCATTCAAGAGTTTTGACGTAGAATGCGAAGTATTACGCAACCTTCGCCATAGGAATTTGTGCAAAGTCATTAGTACTTGCTCCAATCCAGATTTCAAGGCCTTGGTGCTTGAGTATATGTTCAATGGAAGCCTTGAGAAGTGGTTGTATTCAGACGACTACATGTTGGATATCTTGCAGAGAATTAACATAATGATAAACGTAGCATATGGATTGGAATATCTGCACTACAACTACTCAACGCCTATTGTTCATTGTGATTTGAAGCCAAGTAATGTTCTGCTAGATGAAGATTTGGTCGCCCACTTGAGTGATTTTGGAATTGCTAAGTTATTGGGTGAAGGAGAAAGCAATGCATACACTACAACTTTGGGAACATTGGGTTACATTGCACCAGGTAAAGCTCCTATATTTTACTCCAATATTTACTCATGAGCATTTAGGATACGTTTGGTTACTAAATTAGACCAGATAAGGGTAGTTTAGATTGTTAATATTCTTATTCATTGTTAACAAAAACAAAAACACAGTAATGCTTTATAAATTTTTAGATGTATTGTAGATTACAATATACAACCGCACATAATGCAACCTATATATATTTCTAATACAGTGTAATGACAACGTAATACGACTAATGAATTTTATAAAGTTTTATGTAGACTATGGATTGGAAGGATCGGTGTCAATAAGATGTGATGTTTATAGCTATGGCATTATGTTAATGGAAGTATTTACACGAATGAAACCAAGCGATGAAAAATTCTCAGGAGATTTAAACCTAAGGAGTTGGATAAATGATTCTATGCCTTATGCAATTACTGGGATTATAGATTCAAACTTGTTGGGACAAGAAGAACACGACACAAAGAAGTTGAGATGTTTGTCATCTATAATGGAACTTGCTTTAAATTGCTCGATGCAGAGTGCTAGTGAGAGGGTGAACATGAAAGAAGTTGTAACAGTATTGAAGAATATCAAATTTTAGCTCCTCGCTTAATGGCCTTTTGAAATTTAACAGCATAATGCAATTTGTTCTCTATGTATTATTTGATGATCCGATGAATCTGTGGAGATTTTATATTTTGTCAGTAAAGTTATATAACATGCAATAAAATCTAGTTCAAATTTTCTAAGTTGACAAGTTGAATTCTCTAGATGTCTTGAATGCTTTCTAGAAATCCATGGAGATTATATATTGTCTATAAATATTTTTGCTATTTTTAAGTTGAATATATATATTCTTAAAATTCATGTAAACCAAAATTAGGAAAGGTTGAATTCAAGTGGGCCAACAATATGAAAATGATTTTATTTTATTTATTTATTTATTTTTGTAAAATTGTTTACATTTTAATAATATAGATGACTCATCAAAAGGGCTTGCACTTCAAAATTTGAAGCGTTTCGAACACGACTAGAAATGATAAGGAGAGAAGAATTAAATCTATGAGTCGATGCTGAAGGGGAAAATTGAAAACGGATTAATAGCAAAAAATCTCTACAAAATTAACGATGTGTGATATAATCCATACCTATTGAAAATCACAGAAAACGTCCCTATTCGAAACCTTAAGTGCGGAATACAACCTTTTGGGTGCAAATCTTCCAGTATGAAATTTGGAGTGTGATTTATCCCCTACCATCTAATTCCGCTTGTTAGATGTTAAAAACAGTAGCAATTGACAAAATTGAAAAGGAATAATTGCAGTTGTGATCCCAAACTTTTTATATTTTTTACAAATTATACACAAATAATTTTATGTGTACCAACCACAATCCCGAACTTTTAAAATTTTATTTTCTTCCCCATAAAAACGATAAATAGAACACGGAGAAATCAATGGTTTCTCATAACAAACATAATACCAACTTCTCCATTTTCACAAAGAAAAAATTATCAAAATTTTTTTTTTGCTCTCCTGGTTACTATTTAGATTATAGAATACAGATTCTAATTAATTTGAAACTAGAGGGATAAACACGATAACTAAGTACTAAACCAAAGCAACTGTATTTCTAATTGCAGCCCTCAATTTTGCTCTAAGTTCCTTGTTTTTACTGAACAGGGGGAAAAAACCTTTCCACCAACAAAAAATTCCAGTTTTTCTTTTTCAATTTCTTCCACTAAACCCTAAACGGTAAGGGGAAAAAAGCAAACAGAATAAAGGAAGATTTCAATATGTGCTAAATGTCTCCTACCCCTATTCCGTCGACAGTGCCACCACCACAATCCACCTGTCTATCTACTACCAGATCAAGAACCAAAACTAATTATCACCATGGGTTCTCAATTTGAGCTTTTGCTTTTTCTCACTTTTTTAATTTGCTATTTTTTTTTGCTGGTGTGTGGATGTGAGAGAGAGAGAAGAGAGAGAGAGAGAGAGAGAGAATCAAGGGCTGATATGGAGAAATGAAAGAGAAAAAAAATTGGTTAATGTAATGCAATGCCCACGTGGAATAAGGGCATTTACCAAGAAATGCAATGAAATTTGGTTTTGGGAATTGATGTGAAATTCAAATCCACTGATGTGAAATTTGGGGGTGGGTGGGGATTTTTTTATTTCATTTTTGGTTTTTTATTTAAATTATTTGATATGGAATAATATAAAATTATCAATTTATCCTTTAAAATCGGAGAGGAAAATAAAATTTTATACGTTTGGGATTGTGGTTGGCACATATAAAAATTTTGAATATAATTTGTAAAGAATATAAAAAGTTTGGGATCACAACTGCAATTATACCATTTCACTTTTGTCGGTTTCTACTGCTTTCAACGGCTAAACTATTTTCAATATAGAAAAGTTGCTGCATACTTGCATTCTTTCACATTTTTTGGCCACTGAGTCGTTGTTCACTTGAAACAATCAATTAGTCTTCTATATGGGGATCACCAATTCTACTAAGAATTCAGTAATCTATTTGTGAGTCATAATGATGCATACCGAAATGAATTGCGGAATTAGAGGTTATGGGCATTGCAAATCGCAGATGGATATTAGGCAAACAAACTATGCCTAATTCGCAATATAGTTATGGCTGACTTATAGTTGGTAACACGTTAGAAATGACATTCACGTTATATTATAACATTTTTTCTATTATACTCTCATCTCCAACAAACCACAAATCAAAAAAACCATATTAGCCTGACATAAAGAGCAAGCATAACACATGAATCATTACACATATATTACCCATACATGATAAAATAATCATAATTGGACAATATTAATTAGAAAAAAAAATGTGAAAACTTAGGATTAACTACAAGTTAAGACGTTTATAAAAATCCCGAGGCATTAAAAGCATCTCATCATTTGTCTTCCAGCATGTTTTCAACTAAAGTAAACTTAAGAAATAAAACATTCTTCAGTAGTCATTCTTCACTGGCACAACGCATTTTTTATTTTGAAAATATGAATCACACAACATAAATACCCAAAAACTAAGAATGATAGGTTTTGTATGAGAATTATAGAACAGTAATATATTGTTGTAATGGATGATGAATATAGCAATGAAAGAAAGTCGCAAAAGAGCCTTTTGAGAGGGCTATACTCTCCTATTCCATACTCGACTAACTTTGTTTTTGCGTGCCTACTCCAATCTATCTCTTCTCTATTTGTAAGTATTGTAGAGAAATTGATTGTTTATTTCTCAATGATTGTACAATGTCATGAGTTACAATTTATAATACAAAGAAAGCTGTTAAAAAAAAAAAGAAAAAAAAAAGGAAAGGAAACTTCTAATCTCCTAAAACTAGTAAGAAATCAAATAATAGACCATACAACACTAATTATGGAAAGGAAATGATCTTTAAACAATTCTGCCTAATTTTCGCCTTCCTCCTTATTTTGATATGATCCCCGTTTTTCACACTCCCCTTCAAGTTGGATTGTAGATGTTAATCATGTATAACTTGCATATGAAATCATTGAAGTTTTATGGAGGTAGTTATTTGGTAAAAATATCAGCAGTTTGTTCTCGTGTAGGACATAGGTCACGCAAATAGTCCATTCCTCAACATTTTCCTTTATAAAGTGTCTGTTTACTTCCACATGATTGGTGCTGAATGAGATATTGATTGCTACCTTGTTATCACAATAGATTTTGACAGGATGCTTTACTCTGACGTGCAATTCTTCTATAAGTTTTCTCATCAACAATCCTTAACATATTCCTTGTCCAACAACTCTAAACTCTACTTCAGCACTATAACACCCTAAAAATTTTATAGAACAAAAGTATTTGTTCTATCTGGTATATTTTTATATTTTGGAAAATTGTGGGACTAAGGTGATATATGTATTGGTTAGATTTTATTTGGGCCAAATATTTAGGTTTTGATAGAACAGTGATAATTATATCGATATGGGGCTCATTGGATTGCTCGTATTTAATCATTTATCTTAGGCTCGAGAAAAAGTTAATTAGGATAAACGAAACTTAAATCATTGAGATTTAAAGAAGCTGTCAATAAATATTATTTTATTACTTTTGTTTGAGATTGAAGTAAAATGGGTTGTTTTATTTGAATTGCATAGAACTTTTGGATAAATTGGACTTCCACTTTCTATAGGACACTTGTCATATATTTATCCATTTTTGCAATCGATATTTTCATAGAAAAAGTCAAATTTCTTTCACCATGCTATATAATTTTTGTAAACATAGTAGCAGGCTAAAAATAAAGTTGGAACGTGATTTTGGTTTTGTTTCTCCAAGAATTTATTTGATCTGACGAGGTAGGATAACGAGGTGTGGTTGTTTTTATTTTGTTTAAATTATTTTTTCGTGTTGTCGAATTATTATACTATGAAAGTTAAAGATATGATATAATATGATATATATATATATATATAAAGATATTATATTTATTAAGCTCTTACCGATTTCTAAAGATATGATGACGATATGTTATTTTTTGACACATGTTTTAAATCTTTTATTTGGGATTGCACCATTATTCATGTCCTACTGAGTATTATCATATAATCACATTTTTCCCAACTCCTTACAGTTTAGAACAGGCCATTGGTTGACGGGCGATGAGGTACAATCGTGATGCTAGAATTTATGAGACTTAAAAAAATGATTCGGTGAAACGTGACTATGAACTTTATTTTTAGATTATTTTTAGTTTATTTACTGCGTGGATTTTTGTTATTTAGGATTCTGAACACATTTTTTTGGGTCACGCTTTCGATTTGTTTTATTTATTATTGGTTGAGCTAAAAATTTCATTTTGTGATGTTTGATGTGTTTATTTAATTATTACATGAAATTTTTAGTAACGATTTAAATTTTAAAATTTTGGGTCATGACAAGCACTACTTCTGGTCACAATATTTTGTTTCTTACTTTACCATGTTACAAGGTTTCCCTACACATAGGTGTAATGAGCAGTTGTTGATCTCCTGGAAACCCTTGAGGTATCTTATTATCTTACAGACTACTTCTAGGTGACTTTTCTTTGGAGAATGCATATGCTAACTTACATGGCTTATTGTAAATGCAATGTCAGGTCTTGTTTGTGACAAGTAGATCAGCTTTCCAACTAGCTTTTGATATCTGTCTATTTCCACTGGATTTCTGACATCTTCAGGTTTTTTTTTTCCCGTTTCATAGGTGTATCACTTGGTTTGCAACCTAGCATGCCGATTTTGGTTAAGAGGTCGAGAATATACTTTTGTTGTGAAACATTGACTCTCTTTTTTAATCCCACTACTTCCATTCCTAAGAAATACCACATTTGCCCAAAGTCGTTTATCTGAATTTGGTGGCTAGGCATTTCTTTAGTCATTCAGTCTCATTTACATTGTCTTCTGACAAAATAATATCATCAACATATACAATTACGATTGTCTTAGTTCTATCATCAAACTATTGATAAAATATAGTATGATCTGATTGTCCTTGTCAATACCCTTGACCTTTCAACACCTTTGCAAATATGTCAAACCATGTCATTGGTGAATGTTTGAGCCCATATAGGAATTTCTTAAGTCTACATACCCGATTTCCTTCATTCATCTTGTTGAATCTTGGTGGTAATGTCATAAAAACTTCATCTTCTAATTCTCCGTCCAAAAAAGCATTTTTAATGTAGAGTTGTTGTAGTGACCAATCCAAATTCGCTGCTAAGGACAGAAGTACTCGAATGGTATTGAGTTTTACTATTGGTGCAAA